GCCACTATGCACTGGAGAAGCCTGGTTGCCAGCCTCCTGCCATCTGACTATGGCCCCCTTTTAAAAGACTTTATTTTTGCCTGCAGAAAAGCTGTATTCGTGCTTTTCTGCCTGGGGTTCGGTAGATGTGTTTGAATGTGTTATAACCCAGATAGGAATCCCATGGAGCCCATTTGTATGAAACTGACTGTAAAGACTTTGGCTCCATGGCGATTAAACTGTATTCGTGTGGTCTGAGCGCCATTCACTTAATAATGTGCGCTCAGACCTGAGCTATCTGGGGATATGTGAAATGTCTGTGTGTTATGTGTAAAATGTGACTTATGTATTTTAAAGTGTTTTGTGTCTTTTTGCAACCATGTGCTTAATGGAGTCTTGTGTCTGTCCTGGGAGATAATTGAATTACTTATCTCCAGGATAGAAGACTCTGAAACTGGTTTGGGCCAGAAAGCCATGCTTCATTTAGTCACAAAGGACTTTCCCTTAACTTTTGAACCCCTGGTCTGATACATGCCATTTTTGAATATGTTGTTCCCCTGAATGGATTGATTGTGAATATGTAATTTTATGTGAATGTGATGTATGGTTTTAGAGTTATGAAAGTTGGGTAGAAAGTATGTTTTAACTGTATGTATAATTGAGTTTCCTCAGGATAAGGGGAGGGAATATGTGGGATGTAACTGTGATGTGATTGGTTGTTTTATACCTCCCTGTGGGCGGTCCTGTATTTGCAAGACTGTAATAAAACCAGGCTGGGTGTGCCAGCACCTCAGACCACTGCTTGACCCTCAACACGGAGCCTTGTCTCGTTCTTGGGGGGATTCACTGTATGCTGTTAGAGACTGATTGCCAGGAGTGTAAGCTGATTGTCTGCTTTTCCTGTTCGCCTGCTAGCAGCTATTTGGGAGGTTCCAGTTCGGGAGTTGGAGTGCTATTTTGTATCCAGTTCGGGAGTTTGGTGTTCTGCAGTAGCTGTGCCTGTATCTCTGAAAAGGGGGCCGATCGCCTAAACGGTTTTTACCCCTTGTGTGCAAAACGGTCCGTTACACCAGGCAAGCGCAAGTGGATCATTCCTACAGCCAGAAGGACAGCTACAGGAGACACCATTCCGTGGATTTTACAATTTGAGGGCAACGCATGTCTCAGTACAGCGACCCTGACAACAACAGAATGGAACCAGCAGTGGAGTACAGATACTCTGTACAGGAATTTGACCGTATGATGTGGTTGCGGCTGAACTTCTTCGGACCTAATCCAGCTGAGAAATCCATGAAGTTCGTGAGGAGTCTAGTATTCAAGACTCTGCTGTACCGGGCAGAGGGTGACGGTCAGCTGCCACGGTGGGTGGACCTCCACCGGCAGCTACAGTTGCGGGACAGAGAGAGCCCAGTCTCCTCTCCCCAGCGGCAGTGTGGATATACAGGGAATTGGGAGCCCAGTCCCCATTCCCCAGCCGGCAGGTGATATGCAGGGAATTGAGCCAGTCTCCATTCCCCAGCCAGTAGTGGATATGTAGGGAATTGGGATTCAGCTCCATTCCCCAGCTGCAGGATATGTCGGGAATTGGGAGCCCAGTCTCCATTCCCCAGCGGCAGTGTAAAGTGCAGGAGAGGAGAGCCCTCCCTCCCCAGCGGCAGGCTGAGTTACAGGGGGCAGAGGTAGTTGTTCCTGCCCCCCAGCAGCAGAGTGATATGCCGGGAAGGCAGTGTGAAGTGCAGGGAGAGGAGAGCAGCGTCCTCCCTCCCCAGCCGCAGGCTGAGTTACAGGGGCAGAGGTAGTTGTTCCTGCCCCCCAGCAGCAGAGTGATATGCCGGGAAGGCAGTGTGAAGTGCAGGGAGAGGAGAGCAGCGTCCTCCCTCCCCAGCGGCAGGCTGAGCTACAGGGGCAGAGGTAGTTGTTCCTGCCCCCCAGCAGCAGCGTGATTTTTTGGGAATTGGGAGCCCAGTCTCCATTCCCCAGCGGCCGAGTGATGTGCCGGGAATTGGGAGCCCAGTCTCCATTCCCCAGCTGGAGATACAGCAGGGAATTGGGAGCCCAGTCTCCATTCCCCAGCGGCAGAGTGTCCTACCGGGAATAGAGAGCCCAGTCTCCTTTCCCCAGCAGCAGGACACTGTATTGGGAGCGGAGACAGTCGGTCTCCCTCCACAGAGGATGAAAGTATGTATGGGAGAGGAACTTGCTACCACCTCTCCCCAGCAGCGGATCATTAATGGGCAGGGAATAGAGAGCTCAGTCTCCTTTCCCAAGCGGCAGAGTGTTCTATCGGGAGAGGAGCCTGTTACCCCCTCTCCCCAGCGACAGCTTAGAGTATCCAAAGGGGAGACACTCGGTCTCCCCCTCCGGCAGCAGAGCTGTGCAACAAAAGGGGAGACAGTCAGTCTCCAGCAGCAGAGCGGTGTATCTAAAGGGGAGACAGTCGGTCTCCAGCAGCAGAGTGGTGTAGTTAAAGGGGAGACAGTCGGTCTCCCCCTCCAACAACCAGGCTTCAACCAGGCTACCCTCCCAGTAGCGCTGGCAACAGGGCAGAGTGCCGCTGGTCTCTGCCCACGCAGCAACCCACCCAGGCAGCGTACCCGTACCCAGCACAGCCGTGGTGAGGCACCTGGACATGGACAAGCTTCTCCTTTACCCAGGTGTAGTAACCATTTATTGTGGCTGGGCTGTGCTGTTGATTATGTTTTGTGGGTGGGCTGCTGGACTAACAAGGGCACTGACCGGCAGGAGGTCAGATACCCTGTTAGTCTGTTTGGAAAAGGGGAGAGATGTGACGAGACCAATCTCGCCACATTGCATTGGAGAAGCCTGGTTGCTCGCCTGCTGCCTTTGGACTATGGCCCCCTATTAAAAGACTTTATTTTGCCTGCAGAAAAAGCTTTGTATTAGTGCTTTTCTGCCTGGGGTTCGTAGATTTGTTTGAATGTGTTATACCCCAGATAGGAATCCCATGGAGCCCATTCGTATGAAACTGACTGTAAGACTTTGGCTCCATGGCGATTAAACTGTATTCGTGTGGTCTGAGCCATTCACTTAATAATGTGCGCTCAGACCTGAGCTATCTGGGGATGTGAAATGTCTGTGTGTTATGTGTAAAATGTGACTTTATGTATTTTAAAGTGTTTTGTGTCTTTTTGCAACCATGTGCTTAATGGAGTCTTGTGTCTGTCCTGGGAGATAATTGAATTACTCTCCAGGATAGAAGACTCTGAAACTGGTTTGGGCCAGAAAGCCATGCTTCATTTAGTCACAAAGGACTTTCCCTTAACTTTTGAACCCCTGGTCTGATACATGCCATTTTTGAATATGTTGTTCCCCTGAATGGATTGATTGTGAATATGTAATTTTATGTGAATGTGATGTATGGTTTTGGAGTTATGAAAGTTGGGTAGAAAGTATGTTTTAACTGTATGTATAATTGAGTTTCCTCTCAGGATAAGGGGAGGGAATATGTGGGATGTAACTGTGATGTGATTGGTTGTTTTATACCTCCCTGTGGGCGGTCCTGTATTTGCAAGACTGTAATAAAAACCAGGCTGGGTGTGCCAGCACCTCAGACCACTGCTTGACCCTCAACACGGAGCCTTGTCTCGTTCTTGGGGGGATTCACTGTATGCTGTTGGAGACTGATTGCCAGGAGTGTAAGCCGCTTGGGAGCTTTTCCTGTTCGTCTGCTGGCAGCTATTCGTGAGGTTCCAGTTCGGGAGTTGGAGTGCTATTTTGTATCCAGTTCGTGAGTTTTGGTGTTTTGCAGTAGCTGTGCCTGTATCTCTGGAAAGGCGGCCGATCGCCTAAACGGTTTTTACCCCTTGTGTGCAAAACGGTCCGTTACACAGGGGCCTAGTTCACTCAACAACAGGAGTTCGGCCGCATCTCTCGCTCCATTTATTCACCAGGCTGCATTTCGTTGAGTCGTGTTTGCCGGTAAACGGTGAGTTGAACCACATTTAGTCGAGTCTAGTTAATCCCCTCTTGCTTTTTTAGAGGATAAAAAAACAGATTACTTCACTGGTGGAAAAAAACTGGTTTAAT